AAAACCATCCGCCGCCGCCGCGTCACCCTAATGCGCGCTTGCGCGGCCCCCTTTGCCGTCGAGCGCGCCAAGTCCGCGATCCGCGAAATGCGCGAGCAAACCAAGCCGCGGCGATGGCGGATGGATGGCGGTTCCTTTCCTAAAAATGAAACAATGAAAAACTCACGCAGATTCCGAACGCGCTACTAGCACCATCGCCATCGTCGCCGCCATCCCCGTTGACATCATCATCGCACGCACCTGGGGCGACGGGGCGGCGAAAGCCCTCTCCGGAGTGCTGAGGGGCAGCAGCACTGGCGGCCGCCGCCTGGGCGGCGGCGGCCGCCGGTTCCTAATGGCAGCGGCGAAGCGGGCCCACGGCGGAGCCCCTGGCGCGCGCCCGAACCGCGCCCTGTCAGAGCCGCCAGGGGGATCGCCAGGGCTGCGGCCGCGGCAGCCGCTGTCGTCCGGCGGCGACGACGCCGCGTCCGCGTGGACCACCAGTGCCCAATCGCACTCGGCATGCGCTGGGGTCTTCCCCATGCCAGCCGCCAGCGGGAGCCGCGCGTTGCGGGGCAGCGGCGGACTGGGCGGCGAACGGGGGGGCGGCGCAGCGAGCTGATATAGCTGCGGGCGCAGGAGTGAAGGAGCATAACGTAATATTTAAGGCTTGGAAAGAACCCCGCCCCCCGCTGAGACGACCCCCGCATGCCCCGGGACAGCCCGCGATGGCATGAAGACGCCACAAGGATGACTCCAAGACAAACCCAGAATCTCGCCAGACGTTTCCAGGGGCCTCCCAAGACGGCCCTGTTCCTTTGCCCAGAGAACGCGTGGGAACACGTTCGTGCCGTTCGTCTTGTTCGCCCGCGTCGTCGCCCATCCGCCAGTTGCCGTCATCGGCACATTGTCGTCGTCGAGTCGTCGTCGTCGGTCGTCGACGTCGTCGCCGTCAGCATCTGCCCGTCGTCGTCGCCGTCCGTCGTCGTCGGCGTCGTCGTCCGTCGTCGTAAGTTCCGCAGTGATCGGATTCGTCATCCATCGTCGTCTCGCCGCCACCGCTGTAAGCGTCGTTGTTTCAGGGCCAAACGTCGGGCCGAGTCGGGCCGAGCGCCGAAGATGTCCCGAACGCCGGGCCGAGCGTCGGCATATGCGCGACGTGCGGTTAAATTCGCGCCCTCGCGGCGCAACGCTCGGGAGGGGCAACGATTGGGACCCTTCGGCCCGGACCGCGAGGTGCGATGCGCGATTATCTTCGCGCCGCTGGGGCTGATCTAGACGACGTCCCCCTACTCATCGTCTCATCTGCATCATCATCACAATCGTCGTATTCGTCGGCGCCCCCCGCACCACGTCCTCTTCCAACCCTCCTACCCTCCTCGTCATCCTCCTGCCTCATCCTATGGGGCAGGGCGGGCGGGCGCGCCTCGTGCGGCGCGTCCGCCGCGGCTCCCAGCGCCGCCAGTTCCGGCGCCCCGTCTAAAACGGGCTCGCCGGACACATTCAGAGCGGCGCGGGCGGCGCCGGCGCCCCCGCCGCTGAGAGCGGCGAAAAGGCGGGCAGCCACTCCAGCTGAATTCATTTGGGCCGCCGCTGCGTCGACGACGACACGACGGCGGCGGCGGCGGCGACTACGCGGCGACGGCGATGGCCCCGATGGCGGCGACGACGGCGACGACTACCCGACGACTCACGACGGCGACGACGACGACTCCGACGCTCCGGCGACGACGTCGTGTCGACGTCGACGTCGGCGACGCGACGGCGACGGCGACGATGACGACGACGGTGGCGGCGACCACGAAAGGAATTCCGAAGGATCTGACGACGCGCCCCGACCAACCCCCAGCGGGCAACATCCCCATTCACCTAAGGAGGAAAGCATGGAGGGAGGAGGGGCATGGAGAGGGTGGAGAGTTGCAATGTAGTTATGTTATGATAAACGCTGCAATCAATCAATCAATCAATCAACCTGCGTGTATATATATGTATCGAAGTGCTGCAATAACCGCAAATTTGGCATGCGTAATTATGAAAATATAGATCATATGTTATATTTTAAAAAATAAAAGTGTGTGTCATATGTTTTATGGAAAGTCAGATTTTACGAATCAAAAAATGGATGTGATGTGTAATTCCCCAGCTAAAAAGTTGATATACTTTGTAGGTGTGCTGCAATAAACCTGGATAAATATATATGTGTATACAGTCATATCTTTATAACACATGAGTATATATGTGTATACATACATATATTTATATATAACACATTTTACATGATCAGATCTTACGACTCAAGACTTGATGTGCTGTGAAACTTTACGACTCAAGAGCTGGATGTGCGGTGAAATTTTACGACTCAAAAATCGATGTGGTGTGTAATTCTATACTATCATAAATAACAATACGAAAACACACATTAACAATTCATATGTTTATAAAACTCCTCGAACAAAAATCACAATTCTGCGTTGTCGGCAGGGTGTGGGAAGAAGAAGAGAAAGGCGGAGACGTGAACCACGAACCGTCGGGAGGCGTCGGCGCGACGTCCTTCCGACGAAAAGTTTCCCCCCTTGTGCCCTCGATCTGGACGTCTTAAAAGAAACTCTGGGAACGAAGTCGACATCGAATCGGACCTGTCGCGCCACGATGCGCAGCAACGCCGCGCAAACATCTTGATCCTCGATCCCCCTCGGAACCGAAATGGATCAGACTGTCAGAAGTCGATGCCGGATAAGCTCGATCGGATCGAAGCTCTGGCGGCCGTTCGGGGTGATTCGGGGGCTCCAGGAACGCTCTCGGGGAGGCAAACATGCTGGCAAGTATCCCGAGGCGAGAACAGCCTACGAGCACCTACGCCTGAGTCCCCTGTACTCCCTCTTCCTGCTCCCCCCACCCTCTCTCTTTTCCCTCCCTGACCATCGTGGGAGGAGGCGATCGCGGCGGTGGCGGCGGGCGGCACGGCGGCGGCGGCGCCCGCCGGTCTCCTTGTAGGTCGCCAGGTCGGCTTCCACCTCAGGCGGCGCCCGGCTCCTCGGGCCCGCTCCCGGGCGCCAGCGGGGTGTCCCCTCCCCCTTCACCTCTCCTCGTCCTCCTCTGCCTCCTTCCCCTCCTTGTCCTTGTTCTCCTCTTCCTCTCTCTCCTCCTCCTCCTCCTCCTGCTCCTGTTCCTCCTCCTACTCTTGATTCCCCTGCTCCTCCTCGCCCTCCACCTCCTCTTATACATCCCCCTCCGCGCCCTCCACCTTTCCTTTCCTCTTCCTCCTCCTGCTCCTCCTCCTTCCGCTCCACCTCCTCCACATCATCCTCTCTTCCTCCACCTGCTCCCCCTCCTCGTTTTCCTCCTGCTGCCCATTTCATCTGCACCAACTCCCCCTCCTCCTCCCCCCTTCCCGCTTCTTCTCCTCATCCCTCCTTCCCTTGTCCACCGTCCCCTGCTCCTCCAACTCACCCCCTTCCCACTCATTCTCATCCACCCCTTCTTCGGCCCCCCTCCAAGGACCCCATCATCCATCCATCTCCTCGTAGTCGGCAGGCGTCGCCGTCGGTGGCGTCGTCGTCGGCGTCTTAGTCGTCGTCGACACTGGCGTCTGGCGGAGCGGCAGTATGGTTGGGGGGGGCGCGAGGAGGGATGCTTCGTGAGAGCGCAGAGGGGGCCCTCGGAAGCGCTCGAGGTCATTCGAGAATAGGTCACAAGGCAGCTCATGGGTGGGAACAATTAGGGGCGATCATTCCATGTTGAATACAGATAGGCTGGGCTTTTAAACTAGTGAACCAATGACTGATCGAGACTAGGCGGGATTAAGCTGGACTGGGACGGTTTTCGACCACGGATAAACCGATCCTGAATCGAACCTTCCCGAAGCTGACACCAAGCCAAAAGCAGAAGAGAGCCCTCCCTGCCTTCTAGGAGAGCAGCCCCCTTTTCGCCCCTGGGGCCCTCCCCCCCGTTCCCGCCGCCGTGTCCCCTCGCCCCCCCAACCCCCCCCTCTCCCGCGCGCCCCCCTGGTCGAGCTCGCTTCGTAAACCCCCCCAACAACTTCTCCGTTTCAACGGCTGGATTCTAGTCGGAACGCCACGAGATGTCTGGTTGACGATGTTTGACCCCTGGTCAACAAAACTCCAAGCATCGAGGCACACTCACAGTTGCCATTGCTTCGTGGTCTGGGCCGCTGGGTGTTGGTTTTCTTCGGGCCCAAGGGCCATCACATAACGATCAGTGGACAGCTCCAAAGGACAATTCTCTTCTCCTGGCTCCTGTCGCCCCCTCCTCCAACTGTCCCCTTTCATTATGGTCCCTGCCATGTTGTTGCAACCGCGCGCGGTATCAACAACAGTGATTGCCCGCCTGCTGGCTTGTCCATATGATGCACACAGAGGGTCATGGACGTACCATACCGGGCGCTGCATGATGCAACGGCCTGTTATGGAAGTGACCAGATGGGGCCCGAACGCACGGGGTGAAACCATGGCATCGCGTCCCCGATGCATCTGAGACGTCAGGCTGGAGACTATAGCAAACTTGATCCCGCTGCGTCGCTCATGCATCGGCGATACGGCGCGATGTCCGACCCCGGCTACTCCAAACCCATTGGGCGACCCAGAAAAATGACAAAAAAACACCGATACCAGCACAACCGTCATAATGATCAGAGAAGAACCCCCTATAATGGTGTGGTCCCGCTCGACACATGCTCCAATTATCAAGCTCATGGGGGAACATCGAACACCTGTACGACCACCCTTCGGGTGACAAGGAGGTTGTGGAGGGGATATGAACAACTGCGATGACTGTGATAATGGCGATGCTGGTGATGCGCCTCGAGTTGGCGACGACGCGTGGTGACGATACTACGTCGTGATGTGGTCCCACTATCGCCCCTACTGGATCGACATCACCATCGAGACGCCACCAGGGCACCCATAGGCCAAATAAATGCCATTGCTACTGTGCTGCTGATGGCAATGTGATGGCCGCAGTGGTGATGAATGTGGCGGTGGCAGCAGCGGCGGTGGTGTTGGATACGATCTGAACACCATCGCAACACTATCGGGCCAAATAAAAACCACCACCACTGCGCTGAGAATGGCAATGTGGCGATGCTGCGCCGCGATGTGAAGCCACTCGGTCGGCCTCACCATCGATCAATCAATCAACCTTGCTCGATAGATCTCACGACCGGAATCACGGACACTCTCCTCAGCATCTGCAAATCCAGCTAACGACCCCACTACCGATCTCATAACGAGAGGCGCTGAATACGACCCGGACACCAGCAGGACACACATCGGGACACCTATCGGGGCACCAATCGGGACACCATCGGAACACTAATAGCAGTATTATCGATCTCACTACCGGTCTCACCACCGATCTCGCCAAGAGACACCACAGGACACCGACGGAACACCGATGTGACACCCGCGGGACACCGAAGGGACACCGACGGGTACCACAGTCGATCCCGTGGCCGGCGGTGCTGACATTGAAAAACATTTGGCGTATCGGGTTCTCTGCGCCCCGCCCAGTCTCCCTACGGACACCACCACGACACGATAAAGACACCATCGAAACACCACCAGGACGCCCGCCATTAGGACATCCATCGGTACACCATCGGAACGCAGCTCTCACTATCGATCTCACTATCGGTCTCACGACCGATCTCGCCATCGATCTTACCAGAAGACACCACAAAACCGACGGGACACCGACGGGACACCCGCGGAACACCGACGGTACACCACGGGACACCGCAGGGACACCAATGGATCTCACGACTGGGGGGAAACGGTTCTATATATATATATATATATATATATAAACTTTGTGGGGCGGACGACTAAAACAAAACATTGTTTCGCTGGCCTCCTCGCCCCCGCAATAGCGGGGGGGCAGGGCAGGCAGACGGGGGGCTGACAATTCCGGGTTGCCTGGGAGGCCAAGGAGGGGGGGGGGGGGCACGGGGTGGCGACCCAGGGCGCGGGGGCCAGGGGGGTGGACGGGGTGATTTTTCAGAGCGAGCTCGTCCTCCTCCTCCTCCTCCTCCTCCTCCTCCGCCTCCTCCTCCTCCTCTCCTCCTCTCTCCTCCTCCTCCTCCTCCTCCTCCTCCTCCTCCTCCTCCTCCTCCTCCTCCTCCTCCTAGCGCCAGCTGGCACGAGCGCGGAGCTCGGGGCCAGCCAGCGCCACGGGCGCCGCCGGGCGCCGCCGCCCCTTCCCCTCCCCTCCTCCCCTCCCCCCGCCGTCCCGGCACCCACCCTGCCCGCATGGAGGCGACCGCCGCGCCCCGCAGGCGCCGGCCGAACAGGCCTGCCGCCGCGCGCCGCGCACAGCAGCTCCGCGCCGAAGGGCGAGCTGCGGAGCGGCTGCTGGCGGCTTTCGCGACGCTCGGCAGCCACCGCGGCTCGGCGCCGACCCGCCTGGGCGCCGCCCTGGCCGAGGCGCTGCGGCACACGGAGGCGACCGCCGAGCGCCCAGAGGCCGACGAGGAGGCGCTGGCAGCGAAGGCGGAGGCCTACCTCGACCAGCTGCGGCAGCGGCGAGCGGAGGCCGAGCGCCACGAGGCGGCGCAGGCGGCGGCGCTGGAGCAGAGCCAGAGCTTGCAAGAGGCGCTGGCCCGAGCAGAGGCCGAGCGCTCAGCAGAGGCGGAGGCCACAGCAGGACCGCGCGGCGGCAACCTGGAGCTGAGCACGGAGGCCGAGGCTGACACCCTCACCGGCGACGCCGAGAGCTCCGAGCCGCTGGAGGGACCGCGGCTGGCCGACGAGGAGGCGCTGGCAGCGGAGGCGGAGGCCTACCTCGACCACCTGCGGCAGCGGCGAGCGGAGGCCGAGCGCCACGGGGCGGCGCAGGCGGCTGCGCTGGAGCAGAGCCAGAGCCTGCAAGAGGCACTGGCCCGAGCAGAGGCCGAGCGCGCAGCCGAGGCGGAGGCCGCAGCAGGACCGCGCGGCGGCGACCTGGAGCGGAGCACGGAGGCCGAGGCTGACACCCTCAACGGAGACGCCGAGAGCTTCGAGCCGCTGGAGGGACCGCTGCTGGCCTGGCGCACGGCCCTGCTCACCGCCCCGCCGACCAGGCCTTTCAAGGCAAGGCTCGAGAGGCTACGGGCCGCCGAGAAGCGGGCCGCGGGGGCCGCCGACCTGGCGCCAGAGCTGCACGCGCAGGAACAGGGCGACACGGCCGAGACGCCAGCGCCAGCAACTGGGCCCGCGGCGACGCAGGAGGCGAGCCTGCACGCCGAGCCCGCCGACGCCGAGCGCAAGGCCGAGGCACGAGCGCCAGCGCAGCAGGCGAAGGCAGAGGCAGAGGCAGAGCAGCCGACGGCGGCGGAGCGCCTCGCCCAGGCGCGGCGCCTGGCGCAGGCCGCAAGGCTCCGCCCGAAGCCGCGCCCGCCCGCCCCTGGCGCTCGACGGAAACGCGAGCACTTGGCGGAGGAGAAGAGCTGGGCTCCACTGGCTGACTACACCCTCGAGAGGAAGCAGCCCAGCGCGCGGCTGCAGAGACTGAAGGCCGAACTGCAGG